TTTAGTTACGAGGTATTATCGAAGGAGAGTCAGCAAACCAATAGTTGGGGAGTAGAAGGTTTAATTTTTTTATTTTTTATCAAGGTTTTAATTTTTATTATTTTTATTTTTATCATGGGGATTTTATTTTTTTTAATTTCTTTTTTTTACCGGGAATGAAGTTTTATTTTGTGGTATTATTTTTTTTATTGGTTTTTTTTATGTTTTTTTTAATTTTTAATTTTTGTTTTTTTTTGTATAAATAAATAATATTAATTAATTGTATTTTGAACCATCATTAATAAATTTTCTTACTTTTTTTCTTTTGTTTAATGAAGAGATCTCAAAACTTTTAAAAATAAATTTATATTGATCATTATAAATTGTTTATTTAAGATTAATTCCAATTTTTGCATTACCAAAATTGCTTCAAAATCACTTTGACTTTAACTACAAAGAGGTTATTCTATAAAATGATATTATAAAATTAACTTTAATTATATTATAGTAAAATTATATTTGTATTTTCCTTTTTCAATAATCATTTATTATACTGAATAATTCGTTGTATTTTACTGAATAATTCATTATAGTAATAACAAATTTTCTTATAATGAAAGGCTGATCAGCCCAGATGCTAACTTCATTATATTAAGATGTGACTGTATAGCTATAAATCTGATAAATTGTAAATTTCATATTCATTTACTTTTATTTTTTAATATAAATTTTTTATAATAAACTAAAACCAGACTGATATAATGTTAAATTATATACAATATAACAAATGACAGTCAATTTATTATAATTTTTATGTCATATTTTAAAGTATAATTAAAATTTTACTGTATTGAATTATCTGAATATTTTCTAAAAGGTTTTAGTATCGAAAAAATGCTAAATTATGTATAGTATAATAAACAACAGTAAATTTGTTATAATTTTTATACTGAATTTTAAACTTGAGCTAAATTTTTGCTGAATCACATGATCAAATCAGCTGAATGTTAACTGAAAGGTATTAGTATAAAATTATGCATAATATAATAAATGGCTATCAATTTTTGTAATTTAAACTGAATTTTTATTGAATCACATGACCAAATTGGCTGAATATTTACTAAAAGGTATTAGTACTAAAATAATGCTAAATTATGTACAATGTAACAAATGATTATCAATTTTTGTAATTTAAACTAAATTTTTGCCAAATCATATAACCAAATCAGCAAAATATTAACTGAAAAATATTAGTACTAAAAGAAATGATTTTGACTAATGAATATCTTATAATTAAAATAGTGTAATATTATATATAAACTTTAATAATAAATTTGTTATATTTTATAATTTATTAATCTACTTTGTCTCTTTTTTAGAGATAAAAAAATATTTTTTTTTGTTATGAATTTCACAAAAATGACAATACAATTATTTTGATTGATCTAAAAAATAAACATTATTATTTATTTGTAATTCTTTTTTGTGTTTTAAAACAACTATTTATTATATATAAAAAAGATGCCTTATATTACTTCTATCCTTTGTAATTTTATAATTATCTATGATTATTTATCTATTGAAAAAAAGGCTAGGATTTGTATCTTATTTAAAAAGATTATTCCTTCTATTATATAATAATCAAAGAAATATTTTTCAATCAACTGTAATAAGAATCAAGTAATATAAAAATAAAATTGTTAATTTTAAAGATCAGCCTAAATTTGGATAAATATTTATGACTCTTAACTGGCCAATATGAATGAAAGTTTTAAGATTAATTACAATTGCTAACTGTACTAATACTATTGCAATCTAAAAAACTAAAAACAGAAGAATAAATTGAAGTTAGTGAATATATAATCAAGAGAATCTTACATAAAAATGGAATAAGTGCAAGTGTTAAACGTAAAAAGTTATACCTTTGAAAAAAACATAAAATTACATGTATATAATTTGCTAAAAAATATAAATCATAGATTAGAATAAAGTTATCTGGTCAGATGAGTTAATATTCATGATTTATGGACAGATAGTAGAGAATATTATTGAAAAACCCAAATAAATCATTATGTGATTATTATTATTAAACTAATAGTCAAATTTAAGTGGGGTAATATTATGGCGTGAAAATGCTTTATTTTTGTGGGATTGGTAATATATGCTGAATTTATGAACATATGTATGATGATTTATATTGTCAAATTTGAAGGATGACCTTTTAGGAACCATTGAGCAGTATTATCATAGGACATAGACACAGATAATGACCAAACTGCCTGTGTTCATGTCTGAGATTTTTTATGTTTGGAACTTTTTGTTCGTATTAATGCTGGTCACATCTCTTATTAATTCTGGCTAAAAGATATCTAATATTGGTCTATGTCCCAATTATCCTGCAGACACAGTCCTAGACATGGACTTTTGGACATCCTGTGTCTGCCAAAATCACTGGGACAATATCTGTGTATAACACTGCTATCCTAAACACACTGCAAATCTTACTAAGCAATGGTTTGAGAATAATAGGGTTATATTTCTTGATTGGCCAGCACAGTTCCCTGGCTTAAACCCAATAGAACACCTTTGGAATGAAATGGACCATTGTCTAAGACGGCTTGAAATACCTGTTAGAACACAGGATCAATTGTGGGATGCAATTCAAAAAATTTGGGGTCAGATGTATGCAAAAAGTTGGTTGATACTATGGCAACTCACGAAATGGTAGATAATTATTTACCAAAGTTTTAATGCAATTGGATTAATTTTTTATTTTTTTTATTTACATAAAAATTATAATAAAAAATCGATCAAAAGAAAAGGATCGCATAAATGATCAAAATCAAGTATTTAAATTTTTTTTATCACATTATTACGCAACGATTTTTATGTCATTGAATAGACTCGTTATGATGAGTCTAATAGTAAGCTGCACCTTTTAATCACAAGATAATATATTATTTTAAAATTTGTATTCAGATGATGCAATACTTTTGAGCGCCACTGTATATTAGTTTACAATTTAATTAAGTTTATATAACTTTATACATATGGGATTATGGTTTATAAGGTTCATTAGTAAAGTAAGTTTATTTTTGTTATTCTTCAATGATGTTACCGAAAGTATCATTACGATTCGTATATATTAAATATTAATTTGATTTAATGCAGAACACCACCTGCTTAAGGATTAACAAAGGGTTCATAAGCATGCATTAACTCAACATATTTAAATGCAGGTTTACTTTTTTTTATGCTTCAAGATCAACAAGAGAAACCTTTTTTTCTTCTTTTTTGAGTTAAAACGAATACACTTAATACAAACCAAAATAAGTCATAAAAGAGATAAAGGCACAGCTTGAATTAATAACCCCACCAAGAATCTTGCCATAAGATCGTAACGTTTCTTGACCTAAAATTTAATGAAAAGAAAATGGCTTGATCCTTGATAAAAATTATATAACTTTGACACATTGCGAGTTAAAGTTTTATAATCATATTAGAACGAGGAACATCCAAGATATATGAAGACGACGAACATTATGATATTTGTAGTAAAGTATTTTAATAGAGATAATCTATTTCGTAAAAAATTTATTTAATACAGTTGAGATGGACTTTATATAAAAAATCGGAAATTTTTTAAATCGACCTGTATATTTGAATATTCAATTATTTAAATGTAATGAATAAATAAAACATCGGCATATCGGCACATCGCGATGCCAAACAAGTTATTTAGTAATACAAATCCGAGAATATGAAGAACGCGTGCATATTCATGACATAGAACAACATGACTAGCATTTATTTGTAATGGTCTTTTATAAATTATCGTAAAAAAAAAGCTCGCATTGGAATCCAATTCTGGCTTTACAGAGTATTAATTAATATGGAAAACAATGAAAAAAAAATCATCGTGAAACGAATATAGCATCCTAAGATCTCAGATGACATGATTTTTGAAAGTAGATGGCAAATGTACGAAAGAGTTCTCGTATTACCGAAGGGTCTTTACAAACATACGGGATTCATTTTATTGGTGCCTGGCCAGGTGATTTGAAATTCCGGAAAACTTAAAATAGTTAAATAAAAAAGAAAAAAGAAATCCCTCACACTTATTTTGTAACCTTTTATTTATTTTTAAAGTAAAAATAATTAAATAAATTAAAACAAGGTCGATAACAACGGGCAATAATATTTTTAAATGGTTCGGATAAAATTCATCTTTAAATAGAAGCTATCATAGATATTTTCCTTTTTATTTTGTTGTTTTGAAATAAAATATAAAATATATTGTGTTCAATTTTTACAAAAAAAATATTTTTTTCCTTATATCTTTGATGTTTAAAAGCTAAATGTAATTAATGTGTTGCCTTTTTATAGAAATAATTGTTTAACTTATTTTAGGAGGTACATTACATATAAACGTGGGCGTATGGTTATTGTAAATTTTATTATTTTCTCTCCTTGTGTTTCTATACACATAAACTCTTTATTGTTCTTTGTTTGAAACATTTGGTTTTGTTCTGTTGTTTTTTTTTTCTTTTCATAAAATTTGTAACTTATAATACAAAAATGATTTTATTGACAAAAATATTAAGTTTCATCTGGTAAAATGTGTCTTGTTTTACTTAGTGGCTCCTTTCATTGGGGCTTTTTTTTTTTTTTTTGAATTCAAAAGGATTTTTAATTTAAATTTTAGATTAGTTACATAAACTGCATGGAGTTAACCGCAAAGATACATATCACACCGATAAATACATCTTATGAAATATCAGTGTTACTTTATTTACCATTTGTGGCTATACTGAATCATTTGGATTATTTATTTTGTTTATTGTGTTTTTAAAGTAAATTTTTTTATATAATATGCATCCTTTTAGTAAGTTTTCTTTTTTGTTTTTTTTTTTTTCCCTTCGCTGCCTATTTCAAACCTCAAAAAAAAAAAAATTTAATTTATTTGTATATTTAAAAATAGATAAATAAATACTATACATACATAAATAAATAAAAATAAAATGTCTTCACAAAACAATAGTTCACTTCCCAGATCATCGTCAAGAAGACGTCCATCGGTTATAGACGTGACATCAAAAATTCATGAAGAAGAAATAAAAAAATCACTGCTGGCAGCGAAAACTCCAAATATAATTTCTAAACGTCGTGGATCGGCTGTTTCGATTGAATCCATTAAATCAAATTCTCGTAGAAGTTCTATTGTAATGATAGATTCTATTACAACAACTTCAACTTCTTCAACTTCTTTATTAAGAGAATTTACCACCACCACCACCACCGTAATATCAGAAATGATTTTATCACAACCAATGAACACTGACGAATTTATAAAATCTTCAGATTTCTCATCACCTTCAAAAATGCATTTTCCACTTCCCCCTTCAACGCTTCCAGACATTTTCTCAGAGTATGATGAGGATGATAATGATATTATTGAGGATGAAGTTGATGATATATTTTCAGATGATGATTTAAAAAATTTTCAGAAATGTAAAAAACATAATAGGACATTATCTCAACATGCTCAACAACAACAACAACAACAACATCATTCACGTTCCCTTTCAACTCCGATAATACCTTCCTTCAATTCTCAACGTCCTTTAATTCCTTCGATAAACTATGATAATCATAATCAATATAAACAACGTGCCAGAATATCTTCCAAGAAATTGACAAATTTCTTTGGAGATAAACCTCCAATAGATATTTGTGTTAGGGAAATTGAAAAGGAAGGTTTAAAAGCTATCTTGCATTCAAAAATACCTTTATGTTATTTTTTATATTCGTTGCTTGAAGAGTATTCATGTGAAAATTTGGTACGTCCCTTTTTAAGAAATTGGCGTGAATAAGATACATTAGGAATATGCTCAATTAACATCTTTCGAACCTTCTTTTTTTTTCAGTTTTTCTTTCTTGAGGTAGAGCAATATGAATCATTTGAATTTTCGAATTCAACGCAACAATATAAAACGGCAAAACATATATTTGATACATATTTAACTCATAAGTCACAATTTGAAGTAAATATTGATGATAAAGTTCGTAAATCCGTTATAGCTTCAATAAAGAGTCAACGTGATCCAAGAAATTGTTTTGACGATGCGAAGAGAGCCATCTTTGTGTTGTTGGAAGTTAGCTTTGCTCGATTTATCCGAAGTCCTACAGCAGAACTAATGAAACAAGAAATAGGTATGTTGAGTTATCACGTGACTCGAAATAAATATTCATAATGCTAAAACTTTTTTCCCTTTTTTTTTTTTTTTTGAAAGGCGACACAACAACTCATTATTCGGAAAGTGCGCGAGATGCCGCGATATTTATGTTATTCCGATATTTGGAAAAACAAAACGCATCACCACCATTTTTAAGCTCAAAACCCACCAAACCATTTATAATTTCCACAAATAAAAACACGAATAATGATATTGATATTATATCGCCACTTCCATCACCAAGTTTATTGGTATCGCAGAAACGTAATGATTTGATCCGTACAATGATTCATGAATTTTTAAAGACTTTATTAGAAATTGATGTAGAACATTTTTATTATGAAAATTTTATTAGGAGTCATAAAAATAAAAGTAGTGAAAAGGTTAACGAAATAAATTATAGTGGTGGTAATGGATATGGTAATGGAACTAACGGTTATGATGATGATTTTGATATTTGGAGTAATGACGATGAATGTATTGAAATGATGAATACGGGGAAAAAGATTTCCACAAGAGATCAATTAAAGAAAAAACCATTTAGGAGGCCGACAATGAAATCCGGAAGGAAAGTTAAATGAAATATCCTTGAAAGATTATTTATTGTATTTAGAACCAACTTTTTATTTTACATTTTACATTTTGCATTTGATTTTTATTTTATTTTTTTTCATATTTTATAGAATGGGAATGGGATATAAATATATTCGGGGGTGTGGGGGTTTTCATATACTAGTATTTATTATTTTCTATTTTTTTTTCAAAATTTGTATATTTTTAAAAATATCACAACCTCAATTGCAAATGTACAATTCATCATATCAATCAAAAAAAAAATTATAATGACAAATACATACATCTTTTTTTTTTCTGGTGGGAAAATTTTATTTTATTTTTTTATTTTTATTTTATATATATATTTACATTTTAAATATTTTAAACAAGAAAGAAGAGAAAGTATTTTTAAATCCGTTCAATGAATTCAAAAAAATACAATAATTTTTAAAGCAGCTTTAATTTAAACCATTGATCAACTATAATTGCGAAAATGACAATGATTATTAAAGCAACAATACCCCAGATAGTTGCGTTTCTACAACATTTCCTCCACTTGTAATCTTCAGGAGTTGTTGGTTTAGGTAAGTATAAACTACCTAACCACCAAACCGGCATAAATAAAAATCCAAACCAAAAGAAATATTTACCATTAAATTTTCTTTCATTATTCTCATCAACCATATTAGTAATAATCATATTATTATTATTAGCGAGAGATTCGTTATTATTATTATCACTAACCGAAATGTTCGTATTTTGCTCATGAATGGGATCATTCGATATTAAACGAGGTATTATTAAACTTGTAGGAAGATTATAATAATCAGGTAAATAATATCTTTTGAAATCAGAATACCGTCTCGAGGGGGTATAAGATGAATGACGATGAGGACGAAACAACGGATTATGATTAAATGATGACGATGATGATCTCCCCTTAAAATGAAAATGGAATGAGCTATCTGGTTTAATTTCTTGTAATATTTCAAAAATATTCAAACTTCTTTCACTCATACTACTATTATTAGTATCATTACTAATAAATCTTAAATTGGAAGTTTGCAATGGTGACAATATTACATTATTATTGGGATTTATACATTCACAAGATGTTTGCACGAATTCTGCCGAATATAGCGAAGACGAACGTGATGAATGGAAAATTGTACTTGATTGTGTACTGGACCCCTCTTCTTTAATTGAGATCTCTCGAAAGAGTTCTTCCTCGAAAGAAACTTCTTGAATGGTGTCATCATTGGAAGACTCCTCCTGAGAGGATTCCTCTTTAAAGGAATCTTCGTTAAATGATTCTCCCTTTAGATAACCTTCTTGTGATGATACATATACCTCTGTTAAATTAATTCCTTGAGAAGTATACAATTCATTTGTATGTATTTCTTCGTTTCCTTCACTAGGTGATCCTTCATTGGTTGAAAATAATTCTTTATTTACACCAATTTTGAACTTCCCATTGGTGCAATTATATCCTTCTTTCGTTCCTGCTACTGACAATTCGGATATTCCCATTTTGTATATTCTTTTGAATATATGTATTTTTTTTTTTATTTAATCTAACATGAAGCTCTATGACTTTTTTTTTTTTTTTAAATAATACAGTATATATAGTTTTTTTTTAAAAAAAAAAGAAATTAGATTTTCCCCACAACATAGTTGTAAAATATATTGTCAGTTAAAAGACGGAAATTTATTATTTATATTGTATGATTTCAAAAAAGTAATTTTTGACGCGTTTATCAACCAAAAATAAAGAAACTTCCATAACGGGTAAATTTTTTTTAAAAAAAAAACAGAAAATTCAATTAAAATAACTCTTGGGAAGTTCATAATTCAGGAATGTGAGATCTTTAACTAAAAAGTCTACGGATGTATAAACATTGACATCATCACACCACGATCTCTTACTGGAACTTTTGCCTTTGTGATATATTCTGCTTTTTACAAGTTACTTTTGAGCATCCTAATACTAGATGGGTTACTGTTTTTATTTTCGTGTTACTCGTCTTAAATACCACGAGATTTGTTCGCGTTTAGATTTCATTCTAACCGAGAAAATTCCCCGAAAAAAGATCATTATGACTACTGAAAGTTGTTCCTGTTTTTAATTATGTTTTTTAAAAAAATTAGATTTAGGCAAATAATAAAATAAGCCATCTTCTTAGATATCAGCCCCTTAGATAATAGCCATGCTTGAGCCACTTTTTTTTTCGATTTTGAAAAGAAAATAAATATTTCTGATTAAAAAAAAAAAAAAAAAAACGCATTATTCTTTATTTTAGATTGATCTGATCTTAAGATAACGAATTTATACGAATTTATGGTACCTTATTTGAAATTATTTTAAAAAAAAACTTTTTTGAAAAGTGATCTATCTAATCAATTAAAGGACATAATAAATTTATTCCTAAACTTATAACATTTAAATGAAAGTATTTCATTCATGGGTTTTCGTGGATTACGAGGTGTTTGTGGACCTTATTTCTTTTCCTCCTTTTTTTTTTTTTTTTTTTTACCACACATTAGTTTACAACGCATTTATAGAAAAACAAACAATAAAAATTAAAGAAGAGCAAGCCTCTTTAATATATTCTCGTGTACATATCTTTTCTATTTCGAAAAAAAGCCTCATACAACGCCAAATTATAAAAAAAAGGTTCTAATCGAATGATAATTACAACGAAGCCACAAAGAAATTTATTAACTAAGCCGTTGGTTTTTTTTTTAAAAAAAAAGGATAAAAATCTTTGTTGACAGATTTTATAGGCAGAAAGAATCCTTAAAATATATATATATATACAAAAATATATTAGAAAAGAGGAATTTTTCTTTTTTTTTTTAAAAAAAAAAGCTGATTTGATTTTCTTTTTTTAAAAAATCTGTCAAAAATATCTTTTTCAAAGTGGCGTCGAATCGTGATTATATCGAATATAATAAACTTGATGATGAGAAAATTGCTATACAAGAAGAAGTTGTAAGAAAACGTTTTTAGCTTTTTCACTAATCTTCTGTAAATCCTTGAAATTAATTAAATCTTTCGATAAATGTTTTCTAGAATGGCAATTCAACAAAAGATTATGATGAAAAACAATCAACTAATTCAATCAGTAGCATGTCTGATGATTATGAACTTCGGTTAGATGAAGAAAAGTCCTTAATAAAGCCAGCAACAACAACATTTATTGAGAATGATCCAAAAAATTGGTCAGATTTAAGGAAGACAACTATTCTTATCGTGGTATCTATTTCGGGAATGCTTTCGCCCATTGCAAACACGTAAGCGATTATTAAGGAATATCACGTGAGCTGAAATCCATGTAATAAAAATTTTGTTCTTTTTGAATAACAAAGAATATTTTTTCCGGCGATATTGGCCGTACAAGAAGAATTGCATACTACGGAAACGCTTATAAACACAGTAGGTTAGTAATCATTATATCATAATAACAGAAAAAATGATGATTGCTCTTAAACATCGCGATTTCTTCAATCATTAGTTGCCGTATTTGTATATATTATGGGAATTGCTGTAAGAATCAAAGTTTTTCTAATGTAGTTCAATTGTATGAAACGGTTACAAATAAGAGGTTGTTTTGACACCTTTTGTTCCCCTTTTTTTGCTTCAAATAATTAGCCATTATTTTGGGCGTCATATTCGGATTTAAGAGGAACCAGAAGAAAAGTGTATATAGGGGCTAGCATAATGTTTATAATATCTGCATTTTTATGCGCATTTGCATCTAACGTTTGGTGGTTAATGATCCTTCGTGCAATACAAGCGATTGGCTCTTCAGCTGTATTGTGTATCGGTGCAGGAACGCTTAGCGACATTTACGTTCCAACAGGTAATGAAATAGGCCCTTTCCATTTTTTCGGATTAAACATGAATGGAATTTACTAATGAATCGCGTTTCATGAAACAGAACTTGGCACAGCCTATGGATTATTTTATCTTGGATTCTTCATAGGACCGTTAATTGGACCATTGATTGGAGGATATTTGACACAATATATTCATTGGAGAGCGATATTTTGGTTCTTAACGATATATGGAAGTGTAATACTTTTTATAATATATCTCTTGCTTCCAGAAACCTCAAGACCAAAACAAACGTCGAATATTCCGTTGTCAAAAATAAAATCCGAAGAAACATTATTATCACCTTCAATTTCAGCAAAAAAAAATTATAATCCATTGGCACCAATTTCATTATTAAGATATCCCAACCTTACGTTAGTAATTTTATATAAAATTTGGGTAACCTCAACGATTTACGTTCAGAATATTCTTATACCGGAAAAATTTGCCATAACCTATGGGTTATCAGCTTCGCAAACCGGATTGGTATTCTTGGCTCCGGGTATTGGGTTGATGAGCGGAAGTTTGGTCGGTGGTAAATTATCTGACTATGTATTAAGAACAAAAATGAGAGAGCGTGGCGGAGCTTACGCTCCTGAATTAAGGTTACATAGCGCTTGGTTTGGTAGTATTTTGATTCCAGTGGCTTACTTTTCTTTTGGTTGGTTGCTCGAAAGTGAAGCGAATATCGTATATCCGCTAATCGCGATGTTTTTGGGTGGGTTTGGAACGTTAATGGCATTCAATCCAACATCGACTTATTTAGTAGATTCTTACCCAACACGAAGCGCATCTGTCGTGGCATTAAACAATTTTATGAGAGCCTTGGTGGCGGGGAGTATGTCTGCTCTAGCTGCTCCATTAAATCATTCGATAGGCGCTGGTTGGATCTTTACTTTAATGGCTGGTGTGAATATGTTTACTCTATTCTTCTTGATCTTGGTTTATTATCATGGTAAAAAATGGAGGGAAAGATTACGTAGAGAAAATCCTACATGATATATAAAATATGATTTTTTTTATTATTTATTATCATTAATGTTTTTGGTTATAAAGAATAAAACGTGAATATTTAGTAATATTTTTATTATTATTATTTTGCGTGCGTATTTGTAAAGATTAAACCGAATAAATAAAGAATCATAAAATATCAAAATTCATAAGTAGAAATTTATGGTAATGAATTTATTCCAAAAAAAAGTTAGTGTGAAACATAAATACTCATTCCATGCATATGACACAAATAAACTATCGAGAATTGGATCCGAAAATTCGAAATATACGAAATATACAGCAACAAATTTTTTTTTAAAATTTTGAACTTCGACAAAAATGAGAGTTTTCCGTTGTCAAATGATCCCATTGTAAAATACTTTAATGGTTTGTTACAATCTTTTAAAAATGTATGTAGATCGCACGACGCCCCCAAAAATACTTGTTGGCAAAACATCTTTTGTGTCCAATTTAGGAATTTTTTTATGGACTGTTTTTATAACAATCTTTTGAAGGTTTCGCATTGTGTGACCTGCGACTGAATAAATATTTGGATTATCATGGGTATTTTTAGACAAAAAAAAAAAATTTTTTTTTTCCTCCTAGAATTTCGCATTATTATAAAAAAACATAACAATAATATTAATTAATCTATTTCTTTTAAAAGCGTTAAATAATGTATTAATATTGTTTGTTTTTTTTTTTACTACAAGGTAAATATAAATAATAAGAGTTGTTTTAATATAGAGTAAAATATTTATCATAAATTCTTTAAACTACATTATTAATTTTTTAACTTGTTACTTCAGAATTAGTTCTTCAGATTAAATTTTATCAAACGTAAGTGAATTTATATGTGATGTGATTCTATCATATGATTGATTCAGTGTGCATGATGTAATCATTCATTTTTTTTTAAAAAAAAAAGATTTTTGTATTATTACTATTATAATGGCATTCTATTTACCACGAGAGTGTTTGGAAGAGATATTCCACATTTTAGAATATGATAAGTCCACATTATATTCTTGCCTTTTGGTAAACAGATTTTGGTGTAGTAGCGTAGTGAAATTTTTATGGAAACAGCCATTTCAACTAGTCAAAAGACCAAATCCATCTCTCATCGAAATCTACACTTCCTCATTTTCTCATGCGACTAAAACTTACCTTTTGTCCGAGGGAGTTTATATTTCATCCATCAATGAGCCTAAAGTTTTCGATTATTCGTCTTTCGTCCGTGGATTTAGATTTGAGGATTTATACGAGTCAACATCGTTGTGGTTACAAGAAGGATACGAAAAAGGACGACAAATTAGACGTGAACCCGAAGTAATTGACGAAAAAAGATACGATAGCATAGTATTCGATGATCTACGAATTGTGAAATTAGTGGTCCACGAACTTGTTAAACTCTTCTTTTCGAAAATTCGAGTGCTTGACTTTCTTTCATTAAACACACAAAGATTAATTGGATTAATTGATAGGAGATTTTGGACACACCATCCTGGAGACGTTCAATACACCCCGACGAGTTTCGAGGAATTTCGTAATTCTTATGGTTTTGACGATTTATTAAATATTCCAAGTTATCCCGGGGCGAATGATTGCCTAAGGTATTTACAAAAATTTGAATACGGAGGTGGTTCGACTGATGGAAGGATTATGCAAGTTCTCTCGGAGATATCCAAGAACCTCAATACTTTGGAGATAAATTTTTCGTCATGGCAAGGAAAATACCCGGATCCACAAATGATATTAAGCCTCTTAAAAGCTCAACATCTGTTACGTCGTGTAATCTTGCGAAGAGGTACATCAAACTGTTTACAAGCGTTAATCGAAGGATTACACTCTCAGACCAGTTCATTAAATTATTTGGAATTCAGTGGAACCGATTTTAGAGGACATGTTTGTTTGACTCCGGTGGCAGCTTGTGTGAATTTACAGGTTTTGGTGTTTGACAGATGCTTAGGGTTAAATAATGATACCGTTGAACCTTTGTCATTTGCTACCTTTAAAAAGTTAAAGAAATTTGTGTTTAGAAAGAGCGTTGGGTTCAGAGATTTGAGATCAAATCATGTGATTCCCCAATCAGTTGTACACATTATTGGAAATCACAATACAGGTAATACAATAAGAACCACTTTAATAAGGAATGTTTCAATGGGAAATCATTCATTAGGAAATCTTTCAATAGGGAACCTTTCAATGAGAAATTCTTCTACTGGAAATTCATCTAATTCATCGACTAATAATTGCCCCAGCTCATTTAATCATCCTTTGTCGAAAATGATACAAAACACATGTGGTTCATTAAAAGATATTAGACTTGGAAGAAAAGTATGGAATGTGAGACGACCACCGGGATCAATAGCTAGAGGGTCTGGTGATTTTCCACCTTCATCTGTTCTCTTAACAATTTCTATATCGTGTCCACATTTAAATCTCATTGAAACTCATATTAGCAGAGACATTCTTCCCCACTTTCTATCACTTTTAGAAACTTGTCAATCTCTTCAACAACTTCACATATCAATAGGAACGGAATTGATGGATGATGAACAATTCTGGAGAGATTTATCTCGAAAACTTCCACAAAGGTTGAAGAATTTAATGATTGTGATTGAAGGGACGTTTTGGTTGATGGTAGTGCATTGGTTACTTGAAAATTGCAAAGCTCCATTAGAAATTTTACAATTTCCGAGAAGTGGGTGTATTGATGATGAATACCTTTCTTTGATTACTCAGTACGCAAGTAGATTAAGAACTTTAAAAAGATTGGCTTTAGCCAAAAGGACTAAAGTGACGAATGAAGGATTGAGAAAAGCGTTGGTTATCTTTGATGATATAAGTAGGAATGGAGAATTATCTATAGAATATGAAATAATTTGAAATATATCATTGAGTAATGTTAAATCTTTTATTGATAATAATAATTATATTTTATTTTATATTATATTATATATGTATACATATTTTTTTTATTTTTTTTTAATGATCTTTAAGAAAATTTGGCGCGTTTGTTTATTTATTTGCCTTAATAAGGCATCCTTAGATAAAAAGAAAAAGAAATGATGGCCTTAAAAAAATTTATAGATCTATTTAATAACCCCTTATCCCTAAATTTTAACTCTGAGCTGCTTAACGAAGTTTGTAATATAAAAAAAAAGTAAGACTTTTTTATAACTATTTTTTTTTTAAAAAAAAATTATATTATTTATTCTATTATTTATTATACGAACAAAACTTTTATATTTGGAAATAAACATTACTTTTTGTTTGATATTAATTTTTGAAAATTTGATAAACAAAAAAAAATTGTATTACTATAAATATCAATGATAATAAAGTTTATGCACACCCGATTCATATTTACAATAATATCAATAATATCGTGATTAAGTAATTACCATTGTAGTTATGATTGTGCTTATTTTGTATAAGCTTTCTAAATGCCATTTATTTATTTGTATCTTTCATGTGCTTTTTATATTAAAATGATTAATGAATGGAGATTTCGATAATGTACATTATATAATTACAGATGATAAAAATGTGAAAGATGTCAATAAGGAAAAAAATATATACATATACTTTAATTTTTTAAAAAAATGAAATTTATAATAACCTTTTATTATAACTTTCATAACTCTCTTTTTTTTTTTTTTTTTTACTTTTCCAAACTTATTTTGTCTTACATACAGTTCGCCTCAAAAATTTGAATCAATTGTCTTAATGAATCCTTAAAAATACATAAATAAAGCATGATATATAATGTGATGTCTCTTGTACAAAATAAATACATAGTGTTTTCTAGAGTTTTTTTCCTTCTAAAAATAGAAAAAGATAAAATAAAATGAAACAAAAAAAAAAGTAATAATACACATCATTTCTATAATCATAAATCTACCAATTAAAATCACCAGCATAATTGATAATTTTGAATTCATATTTCTTAGTCTCATCTAAATAAGTTTGTTGTGCACTCTGAAAATATAACTCCAAATCTCCATTTGTTTCCTTGACCCTCTCCAAAAAAATTTGTAATCCTTTTACGCTAAATGGTAATTCTTTTCTGTTTCTGATTCCAATCCATTGTAATTCTTTGGGAATGTTTTCACCTAATTCATCCATCATTTCATCCCAATTTGTCTGCTCATTAAAGGTGACACTTAATTTTTGTACATGAATAAGGAACCTAAAGATCAAAAGTAATTCTTGAGGAGTTACGACTTCAAGATATAAATTTCTAACTTGAGTACAATAATTTGTTAAAAGTTGAATCCTCTTGAAACTCTCTTCTAAATTATATGAGGAGATGGTTGGAAGTGTGTAAAGCGAAATTGGATTAAAAGGAGGGGAATTAGTTTTCCAACTTAAATAAATATTTCTTAAATTAATGTTTGAAGCCTGAAAGAATTCCGTAATAAAATCTAAATCTTGATCATAACAAGTAACTTTTAAATTGTTTAAATTAGTTAAAGAATGTTGTAAAGGGGTTAAAGAATTAATTGAGGTACAATGATCTAATTCAAGTGATTGTAATTTATCACATTTTTTAATCATATGGTCCAGAATATGTTTTTTGATGTTATGTAAATTCGTTTTACTAAGTTTAAGTCGACTTAAAGAAGGAGAAGTTGATGAAAATTTCTTCTTAATTGATGAGTTTGGGGATAATGGGAATAAATTTTGTAAATGGGAAGGTAATTGAATTTGATTATATTGATCGTCGAAGAGTGATTGAAAAATGTGTTCGTATGTTGAAAAATCATAAGAATTTGAATAATTTAGATCAAGACAAGTTAAACAATCTTGAGCCGAAACAACCGAGGCCAAAGCCTTTCCCAATCTCATAGAATTGATATCGTGAACTTTAATGGTATTAATAAATTTACAATGACTCGACATCATCATGAGAAAATCATAGGTTGGTTTATTATCATTTAATGAACCACATGAAAATTCTCTTAATGCATGAAATAACTTTTGAGGAGAAGGATTTGTAGGAGATGAAGGATTTTTAAACAATAAAGACGCTGTGGAAGAAGAAGAAGAATTATACTGTGAAAATGATAAAATCTTTGGGATTAAATTTGATAAAAATTCACATTGATAAATTTCTAAAGAATGTAATCTGGTACAACCTCTCAATAAAACTTTGGCTAATTCCTGTTCAACCAAATGTTTTTGTGATTGTAAAATCCATTCTTCATGAGCTGACATCACTTGGATCCTTTGATGTATTTCATGTGACGAGATATTGTTCTTTTTTAGTCGGAAAATTAATGGGATTACGTCAAATGTACTTTGATCGATGATTAAACCTTGTAAATAAGAAACGTAATCAAACAAAGGCCTTCGAGGGTATTCCGACAAATTAATCCCAGCATCTATCAATTTTTTTCTGGAATCTTCTGAAACGCATGATAAATAGGTTCTGGTTACCTTGTTGCAACGTTCTTTAGATGTTCCGGCCGTTTTAAATGGATATCTCCATAGATAGGGGACAACAACAGCACACCAGAACCTATTTACCATTAAACAAGAATATAAATCCTTTGTTTCTGAAAGATTAATTAAAATATTTTCTAAACATTCTGGTATTAATTGTTGTCTTGACATTGGTAAAGTCGGTTGTTTCACTTTTAATTTTTTCGGTTAATTTGATAATTTTTGGTGCGACGATTTCAAAATGTGATAGATGGTTTTAATTTTTTTTGTGCGTATTGATGTACCAGGAAATTGAAGAGTTTTTTTTTTTTTTTTGTAAAATGAAAAAAAAATTTTTTTTTTGGTTTTAAAAAAAAAAAAAAATTAAAGTTTTAATTCGATGATAATATTACTGCTTGTATGCGTTAATGGAACCTTTTTTGAATCCTCACTTACTAATTTTGGTGTAGATTGATGCATTTATGTAAGAGCGAACATTTTCAATGCTATTTATATTTTATTACTGCGGTATAACTGCGATCGTTAAACGTCATTCTTTTTTGATTTTTGGTACAAAAAAATTAAATATTTGTAAAAAAACTTAAAAGTTATAAGATCGTCGATAAGGAAAAAGAAAAAAAAGGTTTAGATTTAAGAAAACCCCACGTATCCGAAAATCTTTTTGGGAGCGTAAAGTTTTACAAACGGGGATACCCAATGCTCGTTAATGGAGAATCACGTGAAACTTGAGTTCTATGATAAAAGGTTTATTAAATTAAAACTTAAGAACGTGAAGAGCATGATGAATATCTCTGTTTGATCTTTTTGAGTCAAATTTTTTTTGTCAGGCTCGTATTGTTATGTAGATAGATATGTACCTCCATCTTTCATTGCATTATCTTATCTAACAAGAGAACAATCAATTTTATCGTCTGATTGGAAAGATATACCTATATTCATTAAAATAAGATGGTCTATGGGTAAATTTATGATTCTCCGATTGTTTGTTATACAAATCATTACCTTTTTCCGGAATAATCAATTTGTAAATTTTTATGCCAAGAGTTCTTTGTAATTTGAATTGATGTATGATTGGTCAACGAATTCATTAATCATTTACCATTCATTTTGTGATACCATAATTATCTTTGCGTCGTCATAATTTTTACCTTCAAAATAGGATAATAAATAATTAACGAAACATTTCTTCAAAGATAAAGTTAATAATACAAGATGCAAATGCTATCCATGCTTTAAGCATATATATATAAACATCCGATAAAGGATATTCAAGAGAGTATTCTAGCATGTTTGATATGTGATTTTCATGACAATTCTCCTAAAATAAATAGATGCACATTTTTAAAATGAAGGTGGTTCGGTAGAATCATTCCTTGTGGAAAATCATTTGCAGAATGCATTTTGTGGCTGTTTTTGATTTGGCTTTTGTGGGCGGAAAATTAACATCCGTTTCTATAAGGTAATATAAATAATAACAATTAAATGGGTGGGAGAATTTAACCAAATGTTTCCTTTTATAATAAATTCAAACAAAAATTTATTTTTTAATTCGTTACGCCAAAATAGTTCTAACATGCGGTATTTATCATCGGATACAACCGTTAAGAAATTTGGCCAAGGTTACGGATATCTACGAAATTACCAAAATGATGGAAGGTAAAAAAAATGTTTGCAATGAAAATAAAACCTGTTATGTTTGTTTATAGCATAGCATGCATGCGACAACATTGTTGCACGAAAAAGTCAATTTTTCTATCTCATGGAAGATATGAAGACTTCCAAGATGGATATACTCTTTAAATGTATATCTTTTTCGATAAGAAATCTGTCGCGTGTCGTGTGACTTATATTGTGTGATTTTTCAAATCACGTCACATCAAATTATAAATTTGAGGCGCAGCAGTTCATAGAATCGGTCATTTAAATTCATCGTATCATACAAACAAAAACACGACAAAGAAAGTCCAAAGGGGTTTTTTTTAATATATATAAAAAAAAAATCCCTCATTTTAGGATAAAAATATCGATAATCTGGTAAAAAAAATTTTTTTTTATTTATTTACTGCAAAATCAATTGGTTTTTTTATATTAGCCGATAAGCTTTTAATTTTAAATGTATTATAAAAATTGTACATATTTGTTTCATAAATTAATTAACTGGTGTTAGTTAAACCTTCCTCATTTTTCCCAATATAAATACTCTTCAATTTCTTAGGCCAAATTTTTTTTTTTTAATAAAAAAAAAAAAAGTATTTAAAACACATGAAATCAAAAAATAAAAAAGTAAAAGAAAAATTTGTACATTAAATTTTTAATGACCTTTGTAATTTAATAATAGATTTATTCAAAAAATATTTTTGGTTTATATTTTTTAATTTTTACTTTCATCCCTTTTTTCTTATATAAAAATACCTTTTTCATCCCTTATTTCCTTTCAATAACGTCATCAAATTTTTTTTTTTTTTTTGAATAAGTTGATTTTATTCACCATGACATCCCCACATTTATTCCTTCTTTTAACCAAATATAAGCAAAAGAAATTTGAGAAAGGCGTAAAAATGAACCTTGACGACATAAGATTGGCAAGACTGATTCGTACAATTAAAAAAAAGATGAGCTCCAAGTCGCATAATTGCAATGAATGTAAATGGAAAAGGTCGGTTGACGAAAAAGAGCCGCTCTTGGTTGATCACATTTGGTGTGAAACCTGTTCTCCAATTCAACTTCAAAGGGAATTCATACTTTGGAAGAGCGGTAATAATGAAATCGATGACTTTATAAGGTTCCAACAAATTAAGGCAAAAACACCTAGCAACCTGATAGAATGGATACCTTATAATAGCTTGACCGATATTAAATACTTGGAGCAAGGAGGTTTCTCCAAAGTTTACTCCTCTACATGGATGGATGGTCCAATTCAAGGATGGAACTTTGAACTGAAACAATGGAACAGACTTGGAAAGACCAAAGTTGCCTTAAAAGTTTTTAAAGATTCGCAAAACATTTCATCCGAATTCTTAGAAGAGGTAAGAATTTATCAAAATCCCCTAGGTTCTTTGAAAGTTATATTCATGACAATTTTCTAAAATCCTTCAAAAAAAAAAAATATTTAGATACATTTGAATTTACAACGTGGATCAACATACATTGTGAAATGTTTTGGTTTCACACAAGAACCAAAATCGAAGAATTATGCGATGGTCCTTGAATATGCAGAAAACGGAAATTTGAGACATTTTTTGAAAAGCAAATCAAATTCTATTGATTTGTATCAAAAGATCGAAATTCTGAAGCAAATTGGACATCATCTCTACAATCTTCATGAAAAAAAGATCATTCATAAAAATTTCCATATTGGAAACATATTATTTGCTAATCATATCGATGACTATATAACCATAAGTGATTTGGGAATTTGTCAACCTATAAATAAGACAACTTGCTTGAATGGGTCGTCACAAAAGGAGATTTACGGCGTTTTGCCTTACGTTGCACCGGAAGTTTTAAGGGAAAAATCATATTGCAAAGCTTCTGATATTTATGCCTTTGGTGGAATAATTTATGAGATTGTAACCGGAAATCCACCTTTTCATGATAGATCACATGATTTCCAACTTGCTTTAGATATTTGCAATGGTGTTCATCCCACTATTCCCGAGGATACCCCAAAGTCCTTTGTTAATTTATTGAAAAGATGTTGGGAACCGGACCCAAAGAGAAGAATTACTGCCATAGAAATTTTTAGTATGATTAGATGCTGTTTCATATATGAAGATGAGTGTAAAATATCACATCGAATATCAAAAGAAATAGATCAATCTAAATGCATTCATCATACAAATCCCACTAAACAAACAAAAATTCATCCTGAAGCAATTTATAGTAGCAGATTATTATCTTTTCCTAAACTTGAAGAAACTCTCTCTTCAGATATATAAATATATTATTAATAATTTCGAGGTTCATTCATTAATTAGCAGTTTTGAATTTCAAGTCTCTCTTTAATTTCTTTTTTTCCCTTTTATATCCCTTAATAAGGGGAAGTTCAAACACTGTAATTACATTCTTTTCTACTTGATTCAATTATTTTAAATATTCGGTTATCATAATATATTATATTAGTTATTTAAACGAAAATGACATAGATTAAACGTCACTTTGTACATATCGATTTATCAAAGAATCCGAATTCCATCCTTTTCAATCTGAACATCGTTTATATTTAACATATTGCAGTCTTAATTTTTTTGTATATATTCTATTCTATTTGACCAACAATAAAAAGTCATTATGTTGAATATCGATTTTCAAATATAAATCTTATTTCGGGATTATTACGCATGGACACTCATTCGTTGGTTCAATTTTCAATGGTGGGATGATCAAACAGAATACTCAAAACGTTTTAGGAGAAATTTAAGATATGAAACTAAAATTACCATACAGCTTTGATATTTTTAACCTATCTAAATTTGTAAAATTGATTCATATACTGTATTTATTTAATTTGGTTTTGAAACATGATCATTCTTTATACATTTATTATATCCTTCTATAATTGTATCCAAAAGGAAACGAGTTTTTCAATCAAATTTATTTTTGATACAATCCTTATTCTCTTAATTGAAAATTTTAAATATTACGTTTCATATACTTTATAATATTAATCTTTTGAAACACAATTTTATCATTGAATAGGTGCAATAATGCAATTATCGTGCTCACCCATATGATGTAGACGATCTTGTTTTTTGATATTTTTATTGATATCAAAAATAAACTACAAATTAAGTTTTTTTATATCGGAATAAGCTACATTAATATATTTTAAGTAAGTAAATAATAATATACATATTATTATTTTTATACATTTGTAGATTATTAGTATTATTAAATATAAATAAGCATATATTACTGATTTTATTGATCTTGAGTATTATTTAATTCCTGAAAT